AGCGCGCAGGAACCCGAGTGGCCCTCGGGAGGCAGTGCTGTGCGGTTCTTTCCGACGCTTCCTTCGTCTTCGTCCCTTCGAGCCAGGCGCGGTGCTCTCCCACCCTCCCCGACACGCGCCCTGCGGCACTGGCTCACGCCCGGGTCACCTGGCTCCAGCGGCAGTGGAGCCCCTCGGCGAGTCGCCGCCAGAGCTGCACAGCTCCGCTCGGGAGCCCGGCTCCTCCCCGGGGTGCAGCGCGGAGCCCGGCTCCAGAGGGCCCGGCTCCTCCCGGGGTACAGCGCGGAGCCCGGATCCGGAGCCTGGCTCCTCCCCGGGGTGCAGCGCGGAGCCCCGCTCCAGAGGTCCCGGCTCCTCCCGGGGTGCAGCGCGGAGCCCGGCTCCAGAGGGCCCGGCTCCTCCCGGGGTACAGCGCGGAGCCCCGCTCGGGAGCTCGGCTCCTCCCCGGGGTGCAGCGCACAGCGCGGAGCCCGGCTCCAGAGGTCCCGGCTCCTCCCCGGGGTGCAGCGCGGAGCCCGGCTCCAGAGGTCCCGGCTCCCCCCGGGGTACAGCGCGGAGCCCGGATCCGGAGCCTGGCTCCTCCCCGGGGTGCAGCGCGGAACCCGGCTCCAGAGGTCCCGGCTCCTCCCGGGATGCAGCCCGGAGCCCGGATCCGGAGCCTGGCTCCTCCCAGGGGTGCAGCGCGGAGCCCCGCTCCAGAGGTCCCGGCTCCTCCCGGGGTGCAGCCCGGAGCCCGGATCCGGAGCCTGGCTCCTCCCCGGGGTGCAGCGCACAGCGCGCAGCGCGGAGCCCGGCTCCAGAGGTCCTGGCCCCTTTCTGGGGTGCAGCACAGAGCCCCGCTCCAGAGCCGGGCTCCTCCCCGGGGTTCAGCTCAGAGCCCCGCTCGGGAGCCCCGGCTCCTCCCCGGGTTGCAGCGCGGCGCCCCGCTCGAGAGCCCGGGCTCTTCCCCAGTGTCGCGCGGAGCCCGGGGCAGTGCAGGCGCCTGGGCTGCAACCCCGCGCGGTGGGTGGGAAGGCTCCAGGCCCAGAGCCGAGAGCCTCCGCGAGTCGCGTACCGCGGACCCGGAAGCGCGGCGAGGCGGTGAGGCTGAAGGGCGGCGCGGGGAGCGCTGCTCCCGAGGGCGGCTCGTTGGTCTAGGGGTATGATTCTCGCTTCGGGTGCGAGAGGTCCCGGGTTCAAATCCCGGACGAGCCCAGGCTTTTTCTCAAGCCACACCTGAAGGATTTTATTTTCCTCACACAGCCCATTCGGGCGACTGTTCCGGTCCCACGAGCTCCGGTGTCCGTCCCGGTCTTCGAAGTCAGATCGAGCGAGCTCAGTTCCTACGGTAGCCCGAACCGTGCGGCCGAGCGCAGGGCCCTAGAGCCCCGGCGCCTCGCTCGTCTCCGCTGCCCGCGGCCTCCTGCGGGGCTGCAAGCCCACGGGGCCGCGGCAGCTCCGGAGCCCGCGAGCCAGGGGCGGCCCCGCAGGGAGCACGAACCCCCAGGCCGAGGACCCCCGGGGGGCGCCGCGCACCCGCTGCACCAGCGGGTTGGGGCCAGGTTTGTGTCCCTCACACACTTTCTAGGTCTTCGCGCAGTATTTGAGGGTGAAGCGTGCTGTAAGTTCCAGGGCGTCCCTCCAGAGTTTCGCCCAGACGCTTAGTCACCGCGTTGATTTACCTGTGTCCCCAAAAGTCAATTAAACTGCGGCGTGCAAAAGAGGGCTCGTCCGGGATTTGAACCCGGGACCTCTCGCACCCTAAGCGAGAATCATACCCCTAGACCAACGAGCCGCTGCGGCTCTGGGCTTTCAGTCATCATAAAGGAAGGTGGAGCAGTTTAGTTAATGCGCCCCCAAGTGGTTGTTCGTGTTTATATTCTCTGTTTTTTGTTTCTTGTTTTAAATAGCCCTCTGGTTTTTTATTTTCCTTTTACTCTTTGAAAATAAGCGACACAGAAGAAAGCAACGATGTCATCACCAGCGTAATACTGACCTCTTATTTCAAAACCATAATTCTATTTATATCCATGACTAATAAATTGCACGGAGCAGGTAGCAATGTCCCGGTGGCAGATTCCAGACTCTCCCCTTTACTGAGTTTCGCAGGTTGCACTTGTTCTCTGTCCCTTTATGGTAAGATTGTTGGTTTCTTGCGGATACTTTTTAATGCCAGATTTCTAAGTCCCACCCTGCCGTCCCTGTGTTTTTACTGCGACTGTTCTCTTCAGCAGGAGAACCTATCTGCTTGTGTTTCAGACTCTGACCTTCCCACAAAAAGATCTTTCAGCATATCAAAAACAATTTATGTGGCACATAATTGGGTTGAATCTTGTCTGCTTTGATTTATCAGAGGGCGGGATACCTGGCACCATCACTGAATTCTACTGTATAATTGCCAACCAATTGTATAATTGCTGCCTGTTGTCCCAATATCTTTCATTAAATGTAGAAGGAATGGCTTCTTATCTATATTTTAAATTTTTAAATACTTTGCATTGAGGTAGAACATCTTTAGCAAAGCTGGGACTCTGAATAATTCTGAATGACTGCAATTGGTCTCAAAATCCTTATCAATACAAATTTTGGAACTTGACAAACTGTAACTGAATTCTCAATCTAGCAAATCACTAACCAGCTAGGAAACAACAAGTAGGTGACTATCCATTCATTCATTCATTTTCAGTTTGTTCATTGTTAATTCATTCAACAAGCATTTGGTATATTTTGTGCTGGACAGTGAATTGTTAACTCTCTTCCAAAGGTTTGACATCAGAAAATTGCAGGCCTGGAGTTCAGTCTCCACCCTTCTTTGTTTTATTTGAAACTGCCCTGGCTTCAATTCTTAGGGCTCAAGGCAAGAAGGATAAAAATATCCTTTAAAATGTTAATGAGTTCTAGATGCCAGGACAGTTTATTCACCAAAATCTAACTGGGGGAAAAAGAAATGCCCTGGACACCTAAAGGAGCTTATCCTTCTCCCTGAAACGAGGAAGACACGGTTTGCAACTCTTTAGGCAAAGTAACCAGTAATCACAAGCAAGGACAGCTCGATGCTCTCCTTCCCCGCGGGAATCTAGAATAGTTATTATCCTTGTAGGTTTTCTCCCCCTTTGTTCTTCTGTCTTGTGATTGAAAGGAGTTTGTCTTTTACTCCACAGGCTAATACTAGTGTGTTCCATTTGTCCCCACAAAGAAGCAGGAAGCTGACTAACAAAACTCAGAATGTCCACTGCCCATTTATAGTGGGAAGTGTCCATCTCTGGGTGGGCAGAATGTGTGTAATGTCTGTAGGTGACTACAGAGTGTGTTCTTCCCTGAGTCAGGTCTTGTGGCACAGGAAACGGCATGTTGAGGAATGCTCTACCAGCTGCACTGAGAGAAAAGAAGTCTGGTGACACATCGTCCTGTAACAGTGAACAACCTCCTGTCTCTCGCCCTGTTCTGAGTTTGCGTTCCCTGTTTCCCTGGTGAACCTCTATCTGTTAGCACAAAAAGACCAGGATGAACGCAAACTTCACAAATCTGCTCAGCGCTTCATTCAGAAAGCAAGTTTCACACAGAAGCAGGGGATGCAGGAATGAAGTGAGCTGTGGTGGGACCCACTTTCCGGGTGGAAAATGAGCCCCCAAACAAAGAAGGGGCCTGGGCTCATACAGGTTATTCTGAGAGGTGGTCTGGTGAGCATATCAATTTTCTCTGGGCACCCAGGAATTTGGAGTTTGCTCTATCAATCAGTGAAGGAGTCAGTGTTAGTGCTTAGGAATTTAGGGTTTGTTTGAAATGGGAGGGAGTCTAGGGTCAGTAGTCAGTTTCTGGAATTTATTGTACTGGACCTGAAGGAGGGCCTGGGGTCAGTGATTGTTATCTGGAAAGGATTTGTTTTTAGAAGGGTTAATGCTTCAGCCTCTTCCCAGAGACTGCCTTTCTAGGTTTGATGGACACCTCTTCCTCAGGGTTTGTTTCATGACTGGGAAAGGATCAGTGCTCTCAACGTTGGCCTTTCCTTCTCACTCCCTTATCCCAGGGCCCCCTACTTTTGGGGGTTGTCATTTTCCATGTCTAATACTATCATTAAATGTCACCTCAAATGTGACACTGCTGTGAGTCTTCCCCAGACTCCTCTTGGGCCAGCTTCCCAAGCAGAGGCAGGTCTGGGTAGGTTAGAGTACACCACAACCCGGCAGCAAACCTCCCACACCACTGGGTCCTGGAGGCCCGTGTGGGTCCTTGGAGGGCCTTTGGCCTTGCTTTCCCCCCTTTATTTCTCCTTCTCTTTGAGCATTTTAAGGAAACCGAGTGCACTGGTAGACTGCCCACTGGTCAGAGCGAGGACCAGGTGTTCCACATCCTCTGTTGAATTCATGCGTCTGTATTCTTTCTGGTTCATTCCAGACACACTTCAGAAGGACCTTGCAGAGAGAAATTGGACAGAATGGTCTGGTTGAGGTCTTAGCTTTCTCTCATTAATGATAGTAATTATGAGTTTGCTGGAGTAGGAAAACCAGGAGACTGACTCTAGACAAAACTCCCAAGTGAGAGGTCGCATTGGGGGTCTTTCGCCACTCCTCCCCCTCACCCTGTCCTTGAGGCCTCCCAGAGGGTCCATTCTCCACCTTCAAGGGCGGTCCAGACAGAGCCCCCTCTGAAGCCAGAATCCGACAGGCAGAGAGGCAAGGGTGGGGATCAGAGAACGGGGAGGACTGAAATGCGGATTCCTTCAGAGCCCTTCCTTCCACCTTATCAAGATAACCTGCCTCGGCTCCCACCAGCGGCTAAGGTGACCTGTCCCAGGGATTGTCCCCTCCTACAGGAAGTTGTTAATCACCCGCCTTCCGGCCCAGGTCACTCCACCAGGCCCCTCCAGCCCCTCTCTTCTCACCTTGGGGCCCTCCCTCCGAGCACCTCCTGGCCCAGTCACTAGCAGGAAGGAGAGAGACCGGGGAAGACCAGGGGAACAAAGGAAGCCTGTGGCACATAGAGAGGCGGACGCTCTCACTTCCTGGGAGACCGGGATAGCTATGGCCCCTGCTCCCTCCGGGAGAAGCCCACGTTACCCCTTTTTAAATAAGCCCTGCCACCCCAGCGTGTGGGGGACAGGCTCGGTGTCACTTCGTGTGGACGTGCACAAGAACAGCAAACACAAGGCACGGCCCGCCCGCGTGATCCGGGGGGTGGGAGAGTCCCAGTTCCCACCCTGCCCGGCCACCAAAGGGCCGGAGGACAGGCTCCGGGGAGGTGGGACAAGATGGGGACTTCTTTCCAAGCTGGCAGATCTCTCAAGTGCAGCACATAACTCATCCAGCCCAGGCAAAGGACAGACCTGGGGACAGGGCTGGGGAGGGCAGATCAGGAGCGCCCGGTCCAGGCCTGGACCTGGAGTCTCTCCCCACCGCGCTCTCAGCTCATCCTTTCTCTCTTTCCCTTTTTTTTTTTTTTTTTAGCTAGATGAACTCCTTCCTTCTCCCGAGCGAGGCCGGGAAAAGCCGAGCAGGGCTGAAACGGCGCGGTCGGCCCGGGCGAAGCTCCACGGCGGCGCCGGGGACAATGGGGCGCTGGGCCGGCCACGCAGGCAGGCGAGCGCTCGGCGGCGGCGCTGGACCCGGGCCTGGCTCCCAGCCGAGGCGCCTGGGTGGGACGGGGGCGGGGCCTCCCGGCGGGAGGGGATGACGGGCGGGCAGGTTGTCCAATCGCGAGCCGCGAGGGGCGCCGGCGGGCCAGTGAGCGGGCGGCGGGGCGGGGCCTGCGCGGGGAGGCAGGCAGCCGCCCGGGCCGCGGCGGGAGCGGCGGCGTGGAGGCACCGTGCTGCGGCTGCGAGCCAGCCGCAGTGGGAGTGGGTCCAGCGCGCGGCGACGGCTGCAGCGGCAGGACCATGGCAGCGCCCGCCGGAGCCGGGGCAGGGAAGGCAGCCGCAGGCCACAGGCTCTGGCCGTGGCCGGTGCTGGCCGCGGCGCTCGTGCTGTGTGAGTGATGTGGGGGACCGGGGTGCGGGCCGGCACGCGCGGGTCACGGGGGTTACGGGGGTCGCCGGCCCTGCGCGCGCTCCGGGCGCCGAGGCGGGAGGGGGCGCGGCCGGACGGGCTGCGGGGCGGCGCGGAGCCCCTCTCCGCAGGGCCTGGGGGCGCAGGAGGGTCGCTGCCCACCTAGCAGCCTCCGGGGCCGAGGGTCCTGGTGCCCGCGCCACAGGGCCTCCACCTAAGTCCCGACTCTCCATACCAGGCCCTCCCGGGAGCGCGCTCGGGAACCCGGCTCCTGGCCGGCTCCACCTTTGGGAGGTGGCGGAAGGTGGCAGGTTTTCCATCTGTGGGGCCTTTTGTTGGTTCGCTTCCTTGTTTTGAGCCAGTGTTTTGTTTTACCTCGTAAGGTCTATTTCCAGGACACTCAGATCCACTCTTAAGCCTCAGTGGTAGAGGAGCCCTCGGTGCGCATTGTCTCATCTGCAAAGCAGAAGAAGAAATTTACATTACTTCTGGACTTGAATGCAAAGGGCCCTAAATACCAGTGAGATGACCTGGCAATTTGGTCAACAATTTTGGTCAAATCCACAATAATTCCAGAAATAGTCACCATAATTTGAGCATTTAAAAATGCGTACTTTTTTTTTTTAAGCTCTTTTTAATGGCGAGGTGCTAAGCAACTCAGTGAAACCCTGTCTCTAAATAAAATACAAAACAGGGCTAGGGATGTGGCTCAGTGGGCAAGTTCCCCTAAGTTCAATCCCCAGTACCAAAACAAAACAAAAAAAAAACTTTTTTGTCTCACTAAATATCCTGACTCAGGTTTAGGGTTAGCCTCAGTCTCAATTTAAGTGAACTGGATGAGTTGTTTTATGGATATCTTAAGTAGTGTCTGCCACAGGACTTTTCCTGTGTTGTTGTTCAAAGCAAAGTACTTGTTGCTGTCTCATAATTTGGTGAAGTAATGTTTATGAAGATGGCCAACTGCTAAGAAACCACAGATCTTTTCATTTCTTTTGTTTTGCAAAATATCACTTGCGATCACAAAATCTGAATATCAGAGCTTATCAGTGATGTGTCTCATGAAAGAGTCCTTAGTGGAATCTTTGGAACCTGGGAAAATAGATGGAATTCTTCTGGATTGCCAAATGTTCCTTTTAACCACTGTCTCCAGGGGCTGTAAAGTGTAAATGTGAAAGCCTCTACCCAGCATGGATTGACAGGTGAAGATGCTTGTTGTATATAGAAGACATGAGTCTTCTGTGTTATCTCTTCTGATGAAAAAGGAAAGATTAAAGTTTGGTGTGTGAGAGATGTATGTGATGGTGGTGGTTAATCAAGTAGACTAGTAAAAAGTAGCTTAAGACTGAGGCCTATCAGAAATCTGTGTATTTCAGACAGAATCATTTTGCATGAGAAGTCAGACAACATGGAAGCACTTACCGCAGTCTCTGTTAAATGCAGGGTAGCGAAAATAGCAGACCTGGAGAACACCTGGAATGAAGTGTTGCCCAATTCTAGAGTAAGACATAAAGCCAATTAAGAGTTGTTTTTTTTTTTTGTTTTTTTTTAAGGCACAACTGGAAAACAGAGTATTGAAAAGATCACCAAAATAATAGCCATCTATACATTGGACATACCTCTTAAGTTATGAGAGATGAATGCCAGTATGTGGAAAGCAGCTACTGTTGCTGGTTAATTTTAGAAAATGTTGAATGTTTCTTCTTGCCAAATCATTTATTTTATTTTATTTTATTTATTTTGGTTGTGGATGTTGCACATAACAGTTCGTCTCTTACTGGAAGGCTAATATTCTTTTTTCCCCTTGGGAGCTAGATTCTCACTAGGTTGCCCTGGCTGGCCTTGAACCCTGGGCTCAAGTGATCCTTTTGCCTCAGTCTGTCCAGTAGCTGGGGGGACAGGCATGTGTCCCTGAGGTTGGCCAGAAGATGTTTCTTAAGTTTGATCTATAGAGTTCCTCAGCAAACATTTTATTAAGCAGCTTTTCATTGTTAAGGACAATGAAACCAGACGGAATAGCTAACTATTCAAGGAAGGACCGTCTGGTTGTAGTAACGCACAGTTCTGTGGGAGAAATACTGTATAGGTACTGTAAGACGTCCTTCGAAACAGGTGTGCAGTGGGAACTTGAAGGAGGGCCATCACTTCAGACTGAAGTTCAGACTGGAGGAAGAGTTCTTTAAACTGCATAGGCTTCTGAGGAAACTGCACCTGGAATAGTGAGTTAAGCTGTGAGTAGTTCAGTGTGCTGGGAGGCTGAGGTGGGAGACCCAGCCAGAGGCCCAGCTCACCAGGAACCTCACCTGCCACTCCTAAATCCATGAAGGATGGTTAGAGTGGTGTGAGGCAGAGAAACCAGAGGGCTGGCCTAATAACCCAGGGGAGGAGGATGGCGACCCGGATGAAAGGCAGGGGATATGAGGAGAGGACACACGGATGAGCTAGTGAGGAAGTGAATCTGATAGGAAATTGATTTGGTGTGGACTTGAATTGGGAGGTGGATAACATGAACCACAGGTTTTGGGCTTGGAGGCTGGATCTGTTTTAGGAAGGGGTACTTTTCACAAATGAAGGATATGAGATGGAAAAATAGGAATGTTGGGAGAAGGCAGCCCTGGGGGTATACTGGTATGTTCAGTCTGAGATGCTGGTGAATTGTCCAAGTGTAGATGTGGGAGACAGTAGGGTAGATGGTTCCGGAAGTGAGGAGAAAGCTCAGGTCGGAACTACAGATTTGCGAGGTTTGTGTGACCAGCATTAAAACTTGGGTTGAGGGAGAATGCACTGAAGGAGATAGGGAGGCCCAAGGGTAGTCCAGGGCTCAGGAGAACCTGGGAAAGAGGCTCTGAGGAAGAGGAGCACTGAAGGGCCTGGTGTCAGACCCCAGGAGAGAATGCAGCATTGAGGGTAAGGCACTGGCCAGAGGAGGAGAGTGGATGTGATATGGACTCACCGGATTTGGCATTTGGGTAATCACCAGGTAGGAATGAGCACACAGTAGGTGAAGAATCCGTCTGTTTTTGCACCACCCATTTCAGTAAATAGCTCTGCTCTCCATCCAGTTGCTCAAGCCCAGAAACCCAAGCAACACCTTGACTCCACCTTGATTCTTTCCTTTCCTTTCCTTTCCCCACATCCATTCAGTTCTCCCATCTCCAAAGGGCATCTGGAGTTACTCCCACACCCCACTCCTGGCACTCCAGGCAAAGTCACTGTTTCTTACGTTTCACCGGGATAACCTAGCTGGCCTCCCCAGTTCCTCCTCAATCCACTTTTATCCAGTTACAAAAATGAATTTTATTAAAATGCAAATCAGATCTTTCTTGCTTATTTAAAATTCTGAATGGCTCCCCATTGCACGTGGATGAAATTCAGACTTTCCTACATGGCCCTCAGAGATCTGTGAGATCCAGTTTCTGTCACTTTGTGACTTCAGCTTGTGCTACTTGCCCTTTGGTTCACTGTACTCAAGCCGTTTTGCCATCTTAGTGCTCTTTGGCTTTCCCCAACTGCCCAGGGCTAGCTCCTTTTCACATGGAGGTCACCGGGTATCACTTCAGGACCACCTATCCCAGGAGAGTACTATTTGCTAGCCTTTTTAGTTTACTGTTTTTTTATGATTTTTAACTACTAACTTCTAACTATTTGATTTTTCTCCTTTTTTTTCTCCATCAGAATTTGATACATTTTTTTATTTATAGAAAATATCCTTATCATAGTGGGTATAATAAATGGTAATGAGTGTAAAATGTCTGTGAGGCATAGACATGGCCTGACAGATTGTCAGTTGTTTGCAACGTGGTTAGAATTGGTTTGGCACATAGTAAGTCCTCAGCAAATGTTTGTTGGAAGAGTTTTTTCCAAGTGTGATTTCATGCAGAGACTTTTTTCTTTTTGTACCAGAGATTGGACCCAGGAATGCTCTGCCACTGAGCCACATCTCCAGCCTTTTAAATTTTGAGACAGGGTCTCATGAAGTTGCCCAGGCTGGTGTTGAAACTGCCATCCTCCGGCCTAGCCACCTGAGTCACTGGGATTACAGGCATAATTTATTTTCACTCTTTAATTACCATTTTATATTTCTTCAGAGATTTAAGAATAAGTTGACATTCATAGACTAACTGCCATGATTTTGAAATTAATATATATTAAAAGTAATGTTTTTTGTTGTTGTTGTACTTGTTTTATATTTTTGGTTTTTGATGCTTCTTGACCAAATTTAGACTTAGACTGTACCTCTGCAGTTGAAAGGCTCCAAATCTTGTAACCATTTCCTTAGCCTTTTACTTATTTACTGATTGTGATAGTAAAATGAAGACTTGAAGGGGCTGAGGTAGTGCACCTCAATGGTAGGGCACTTGCCTATCATGCAAGAGATACTGGGCTGACTCTCCAGCACTGCCCAAAAGAAAAACTTGTCAAAGAGTGTATAAACATACACATACACACTCTCACACACACAGTCTCTCCCTCTCCCTCCCGCGCGCGCGCTCTCTCTCTCTCTCTCTCTCTCTCTCTCTCTATATATATATATATATATACACACACACACATATATACATATATATGTACACATACATATATCACACTTTATATGTGCATATATATTTGTGAGATATATGTGTGTGTATATATTATATATATTACATTTTATATATATATAATATATACACACTTTTTTTTTTTTTTTTTACTACTTGTATTTTACTTCAACTCCTGGATATTCACTAAGCTCAAATGCTGCCAGAAAAGAGGAACTAAAGACAAATACTAAGTGAAAGACAGCTACATGTAGAAGTTCATAAAATGTAAATTTAAAAAAAATTTACTTTTTTAGGTGTAGATGGACACAATACAATGCCTTTATTTTTTTATGTGGTGTTGAGGATCAAACCGGGTCTCGCCCATGCTAGGCAAGTGCTAGGCGATGCTGTGCTAGTTGATCTAGTTGATCACTCTACTGCTGAGCCACAATCCCAGCCCCATAAAATGTAAATTTTTTTCACAACCTCTTTATTTACTTATTCAACCAAATAAATAGCTACTGGGCACAGAGTACAGGGGAGCCTATGTTCTAGTGGTGGCGTCAGATAGGATACCTGTACTCAAGTAAATAATGACTCTAAGTCAAGAATATTAAAGGACAGTACATCACTTTTAAGGAAATGATCCATCTACTATGAAAATTTGTAGTACTTTTAAAAAATGGAGAACACTTATGTGGCTTAAAATGGTTTCTTTGTTTTTGTATCAGAGATTGAACCCAGGGGCACTTAACCACTGAGCCATATCCCCAGCCCTTTTTTAACTTTTTTTTTTTTTAATTTTGAGACAGGGTCTTGCTTAGTTGCTGAGGCTGACCTTGAACTGGCAATCCTCCTGCTTCAGCCTCCTGAGCCACTGGGATTATAGGCCAGCTGCACCACACTGAGGCTAGTTTAGTTCAGCCACCAGACACATCTGGGTGGTTAGAGCCTTCAAACTGGAGCCCAAGAGTTTTTATTAAGTTGTGTCTGTTACCTGTGAATTTGAATTCTCTATGTAGGACATGCATTTCACCTATGTTTCAGTCTTGGAAATATTTTAATCTTGCTAAGACCCTTGATGTCATCTTAAAAGTGAGAATAAAATGGCTTGCTCTGGTATAGAATTCTTTATAGATTAGTTTATTCTTCACCTCCCACACCCGCTTGGGAAGTTAGTTCTTGGGAAAATGGGAAGCATCTCCCTGTGTGCTCAAGCATCGTATGGCTCTGACTCTTGATCCTTAAGGCTGATGAGAGATTACTTTGCCAACTGCTTGACATGAACAATGCCCCAAAGTCTAGAAAAAAGTCCTTGGAATTTTGAGTATATAAGCAGCAGAGGTCAACTGGTTGTGAGACCACAATGCCTAAATTGAGGGACTATAATTTCCTCCTGGGACTTTTATGTTTTTGCCTCTAAATCTTTTTTTTTTTTTTTTTTTTTTTTTGTCTTTTTAGATATATGTGACTGCTGTGTGAAATCCACAGCTTAGTGTCAGTGTCCTGCTGCAACCAGCAGAACAGCTTTGAACTTGCAATACTAGGAGTCTGATATTCCACATAGGAATCTGGGGATTTGTTATATGTAATTGGAATCATTTAAAAGATAGTTTTATCATAATTAATAGTGTGATTTTTTTTTTTCTCCCAACATTAAGGACGACACACAGGATAGAGATTTCCAGTCAGAGCTAGAGCTGGGAAATTGGAATCTCTGAGCTTCCCCTCCCCCCACGCCATTGTCCAGTGACAGTAGGTGTGGTCAACCAGTTCCTCACAAACGTTCAAGGTGGTCTGGGGGTGTAGGGCAGTGTCAGTGCTTGTTTACATGCACAAGACATTAATCCCCAGTAAGATGAGAGAGAGCTTTTGAGGAATTGGTTCATATGACTTGGTAAGTCTGAAATCTGAGGGGTAGGCTGGCCACCTGAAGACCCAGGGACGAGCTGCAGTATAGGCCAAAGACAGTCCTGCAGCAAAAGTACTCCGGGAGGTCACACTGTTAGATTAAGTGGCTGTGTGAGGCCTACCAACCACAGTATGGAGAGTAATCTGCTTTACTTGAAGTTCACCAATTTCACTGTAAATCTCATTCAAAACTCACCTCTGGGACTGGGGCTGGGGCTGGGGCTCAGCAGTAGCACACTCTCCTGGCACGTGTGAGGCACTGGGTTCGATTCTCAGCACCGCATATAAATAAATAAATAGATAGATAGATAAATAAATAAATGTCTATCAACAACTGTAAAACAAACAAACAAACCCTCACCTCTGCAGAAACATCGAGAATGATGTGTAGCCAGCTGTCTGGGCACTGTGACCTGGCCACGTTGGCACATAAAATTAACCACCATACCAGAAATGGGTGATGGAAGTCAGGCCATTCGTGGAGCTGTCCATTGTTGGTTTCTGGTGATCTCTGCTGTCTACTTGAGCACCTCCTGTTTACCTCTTGTGTTGTTAACAGCCTTCTGTCAGTCACTGGGGCAAGATGCCCCACATGATCAGCTTAATGGGGGAAGGGGTTTGTTTGGGCTCAGGGTTTCAGAGATTGCAGTCCGGGGTGCTTGGCTCTGCTGTTCTGGGCCCGTGGCAGCACCGTGACTCATGGTGGGACACAAGGAGGAGTGAGGCCCTCACCTCCAGATGGCCAGGAAGCCAGGGGAGGGAGCAGGCTGGGGCTGAGTGCCCATTTCCTCCCACTAACTAGGCCCTGCTGCTTGACAGTCCCACCACCTCCCATGGCACCAAGGGCTGGGACCAGGCTGTCAACACACAGGCCTCGGGGACAGCTCCACTAAGTGTTGCCTGACTCCTGCCCCCCTCACCTGCTTCTCACTCTGCCAGAGGCAGCCTGGTGGTGCCAACTCACCTGCTCCAGGCCAGGGTTTCTGGCTTGTTTTCCTTGGCCTCATTGACCCAGGATCCTGTTCCCTTGCCTTGCCAAGTGCTCCCGGCCTGTGCCCCAGCATTGGCTTTCCTTGAGCCGGTCTGTCCAGTCTCTGGCTGGGCTCGCTGTGTGTGCATCTTTGCTGATCCCATCCAGGTTTGTCTTAGAGGCTCATCTGGCAGAGACAGACGTCCAGTTACTGTTTGTTGAATAAATGGTGACTCCTTCATGTATCCTTGGTGCAGGTTCTCAGCCAGCTGACATCACTCCACAGTCACAAATCTGCTCGAGTGTGCAGGAGCAGCTAGAGCTCTGTGTTCAAACTCAGCTGCACATCTCCCCCATCCCCGGCTGTCATCTGGTCCCCTCCTGGGTACCCTTCTCCTATCCTGCTGTCTGTCTGCCTCCCCTCCTCCCCCGCTCTCTGTCGTGGTTCATCCTAGGATCCTTTCCTTCACCCTGCCTCCCCACCAAACATGCCTCTACTTCTCAGCCCACCCTTCCTTTCCACTGGGCTGCGACAACTGTCAATCATTTTAAGTTCAGATTACTGCAGGACCCCTCCAAATGGTCTCCCTAAAGCTAATTGTGTGCCCTTCGAATCTGCCCTTCCACCTCTGTTGTGGGCAGCCTTAATTGGGCTGCTCCTCTGAGCTCCACATTCGTCCCCATTCCTCCAGGATAGACTGGGACCCTCAGCTTGGCTCACCTCCTCCCTGTGTCTGCCCGCCTCCCTCGCACACACTGCCCCTTGCCCCTTCTCTGCACGGCAGGCTGCTTCATGTCCCCTTGGTTTTGTGTACAGTAGCGCACTCTGTCTCCTGGTTTTCCTCCCCCCTCAGGTGTAGACTCAAGTGTTCTTGGCCTTGGAAGTCAGAGTGCACAAAGGTGAGTGTGAGCACAGCCCATGGGCATGTCCTCCACTGTACAATAGCAGAAAGTGAAAGGGCCACGATTCTCATTATTTGCTCACTTACATTGCTTTCTGCTATTTATAGCTGGGAATATATTAATTTTTCTTATATTTATTCTTCTGTGGCTTTCCCACTAGAATATGAACCTCCAGTGATCCCTAGGAAAGTGTCTGGGACATAGTAGGAATTCTGTAGATATTTATTGAATGTATTTATTGGTGGTACTCATAGTGTTCCATACAAATTTTTAAGTGGCAAAAAAACGAAACAAACTGGCATGGTGGCATACGCCTGTAATCCCAGTGGCTCGGGAGGCAGAGGCAAGAGATGGTAAGTTCAAAGCCAGCCTCAGCAATTTAGCAAGGTGCTAAGCAACTCAGTGAGACCCTGTCTCTAAATAAAATACAGAAATAGGGCTGAGGATGTGGCTCAGTGGTGAGTGCCCCTGAGTTCAATCCCTGGTAGTTTCTAAGTGGAGAAGTTTTTGAGTTTGTAATCGTTTAAGCTGCCTAAGGTTGTAAGGTGGGTGGTTTACCTTGTGTAGATGTGACACTGAGTTCTCCGTAGGCTGTGCTGTGGTACCCCAGGAAGCCCAGGGAGCCTGGCAAGCAGCGTTGGCCTGGGGACCACAGCCAGGGCACTGGCTTGGTACCTCACTTAGTCTGGCTTTACCCCTCATTTGTCACTTCCCCTTGACCATAGTCACACACAGGCAGTCCTGACCCCAGCACCTGCCTGATTTCTGTGGTCCTCTCCGACCCCGCTTATCTTCTCTGATCTGCATCAATTACCAGAAAGTGCACTAACCTCAAAATCTCGTCCCACTCTTAAGTGCCACTTCCTCTCAGTCTCACTGCAGCGGTTCCTGGAGCCCTTGTGACTTCCAATCCTTCCCCACTTTCTTGTTTGCATTCGTCACTCCTGGCTGGTTGCCTCCTGCCTGTCCCTGGTGCGTGTTCTGTGTTCCTATCACTGCCAGGCACTCCTGGCCCCTTGCTATGCTCTCTGGTTGCGGGAGGCCTGTCGCCCTCTGCTCAGGGCTCCGCATGGCCTGTCCTCTGGTTGCCCTGGCTGTGGCAGGGTCTTGCGCTGGAGCTTCCAGTGTTAAGAAGCCCTCCTTTTGTCCCACAGTCCACCTTAGCTACATTTCTAGGCTTCAGACCCCAGCAGAATTCCCCAGGCGGTGTCTGCACTCCAACCTGGCACGCACCTCTCCTCCCTGCTCTCAGTTCAGTCCAGCCCCCAGCTGCCCCCGCCACTCCATTGAAGCTCCTCCTATCAGGGTCACCTGTGGACTTCAAGTTGCCCAACCCTGTCGGTCCTTCTGTGTAGTCATTTGGTGTGACCTCTCAGCCCCTTCAGCCCACCTGGCCATGATCCCCCAGCCCTGACCTCTACAGGTATGTGCCTCCAGCCTACTCCCCGCTCCCAGTGGGGGCACCTGCCCCTGTGATCTTCTGTACCACCCATGCTGGTAGCCTCCAGGGTTCGAGCCCCAGACCTCTGCACCCGCACATCCCCTACTGCTTGACTCATTTGGATGTCTCAAGGTGTCATGGACATTTCAAACCGAGCACTTCCCAAAACTGCAGATGGCTTTCCTTCACTCCAGTTAAGTCTCTGGCCCTGTGATCACCTTAATTTATCCAGTCGCTCAGGCTGGAAGCCCAGGGGCTCTTCTTCTAAAATCCGCCTGTGAGACCCCTGCCTCGCCAGTTCTCTGTCTTTCATACTATCAGAGCCCAACATAAGCATATGTATACATTGTTTAAATGCAAGATTATACACAGATTGTTTGTTTCTTAGTACCAGGGATTGAACTCAGGGCCACTATACCACTGAGCCACGTCCTGAGCCCTTTTTATTTTGAAACAGGGTCTTGCTAAGATGCTCAGGGTCTCTCATTAAGTTGCTAAGGCTGGCTTTGAACTTGCAGTCCTCCTGCCTCAGCCCTCCGGAGTCACTGGGATTACAGGCACAACTGCCATTCCTGGCTGTTTCTTCTTTTCAGTCTCTCGCTGTTGTGCTTCTAGTCTTTGGTATATGTTCACTCCAGCAAATGACAGGCAGAGAATTAATGTTTTCACTGCCAGGGTGCATACTAGCATGGGCCCATGTTCAAGAACTTCCTAGTTCTTGGTGGGTTTGCTGTGAGTTCCCTGCTGATGAATGCCTAACCCTTGCACCCCAGACAAGTGCATGAGAAGAGGGCACTGGAAAGTCTCAGTTCCTGGTAGTGATGGAGGCTCCGGCCAGGGGCCAGCACACAAACCTGGACCCATTTTGCTGAATTTTCTGTGGCTTGAAAGGCATGCAACTACTGAAGTCACACAGAGCCTCACACTCAAAAGGGTCCTGCAGTGAACTTGGAGTTGTCTTAGAATCCTGCATAATTATCTCTCTCAATTTGTATTTTGTACGTGAAGTCTATGACAGGACCGTGGAGTATGTGCGGGAACTTGGAGTGGCAGCTCAGATAAAGTTGTGACCCCTGCCAAGCCCATGCATCCCAGGACAGGTTTTGGCCTGGCACTCTTTACCCCTTGGTTCTCTGGGCCTTCCTACTTGTGAGTGCTGCCCTTCCCCTAGTGAGCAATCAGGTCCATGGGGAGGGAAAACAACTTCTGTCCTTGCCCTTTGCCCCTCTGGGTTTAGCACAGGCCCAGCAGGGCCTTGGGAAGGTCAGGGTCAGGGTGTGCCCTGGAGCACACAGCAAGTCAGTAGCCAACTCTGCAGGATCCTCTTACCCTCCTCACCAGGGTACCAAGTACTTTTCCCCTTGTGGCTTGGGCTCTGCAAATTATGTGGCAATAGACTGGTTGGGTGATCGGTAGCAAATGCCTTGGGATATGTTAGGGCTAAAGTCATATTGTCTTGCTCTGTGTTCCAGAGTTTGGGTATGATCCATCCTTTGTACTTTATTCTAGAGCAAGCCCCAAATCACTCTCTAAGAAAAGTGTTGTTCCTGCTATCAAGGGACATCCTGTGGCTCACCTCCCAACTGTCGTGAGGCCATAGATGAGGGAGGTGTGATTAGGCACCTCAGTTTTTACAACTGTTAAAATGTTGTGTCAGGATGTAGGCCTACCTTGGTAAGCCACACACACCACACTGGCAGAGAACATTACTGAAAATGTTTGCAAACCAGTGTTTATCAGTGCAGCTGAGGGCGGGGTTATTTGTGAAAGGTGGTTTCAGTGACGCGTCTGTGATGTGTCCCCTGAGCTTTGCCCTGTTTTGCCCTTGATTCAGCTTTGCACTTGGATCATCAGCTGGGTTCCTTACACAGTGTCTCTTTTGCACTCTGCTGCTGGGTCCGGTCAGCATTGGACAGTGTTGAACAGTTTTCCTTACAGATTGTCTTACAGCCTCTCCTTTCCAAGGAAGGTAGACCTCACTGAGCGCTTACACTCAGCCCCAGTGCAGCAGCCTGGCAGAAGGCAGATGAGGTACTCCTCCTGAGACAGTGCTGTGGCAGACATCAGCGAAGACAGGCGTGGCCTGAGTCCCTTTGGACATGCAGTGAACAGAACCAAAACTGCTGGGCTCATCCCGGGTGCTGTAGTGGCTACAAGGAAGGAGAAGCCATCATCTGATTCCATAGACATTTTAATTTTTGTCCAGAACCACTCTGGCTCACAAGTAGACCTAAATGTTGTTACAGCTGCTTATTTATCAAATGTATATTGGAGGAGTGCTTGCCTTGCAAGGGCAAGCCCTGGGTTCCATCCCCAGCACTGGGAAAAAAAATGTATGTAGAGCTCATACTTGACCAGGTACTATGCTGAGTCCTTTGTGAATATCAACTCCTTTTGGTCCCGTAATTAGCTCATGGATTAAGTACTAGAGGTGGCGCATCCCTGATCTGACATGCTTGGGACCAGAAATGTTTCAGATTTCATGTTTCTTTTTTTTTTTTTTTTTTTTTTTGGAGATATTTGCATGTGCATGATGAGGTATCTTGGGGTGTGCTCCAAGTATGGACATGAAATTCACTCATGTTTCATACCGACCTTGTACACAGAGCTTGAAGTCTTCTTATATCGTTTTGTTTTGGGACTGGGGATTGAACTTGGAGACATTCAACCACTGAGCCATATCCCAGCCCTGTTTTGTATTTTATTTAGAGTTGCTTAGTGCCCTGCCATTGCTGAGGCTGGCTTTGAACTCATGGTCCTCTTGCCTCAGCCTCCCGAGCCACTGGGATTATAGGTGTGCACCACTGGGCCCGGCCTTGTATAGTATTTTTGATCTCCTGTGTTTTGACTGTGATCTGTCACTGGAGGATTGATATACAATTTTCCATTTGTAGTGTCATTTTTGTGCTTAACAAAGCTTCGCATTTGGGGCATTTTGAATTTTCCCAAAGTTACACGTCATTTTTGTTGTCTCAGGCAGTGAGACAGTCTGTGTCTTCCATAGTTCAGGAAAAACTTTGAGATGTTTTTTTAAAAACTTACCTTACCAGTGGGGCAACTTTTGATGTACAAAACAAATAATATTCATTAGAAGGTATATCTACACACAAACACACTCCCCGAACTTGGGTTAAATCCAGGGGCTCTTTACCACTGAGCTACGTCCCCAGCCCTTTTCATTTTCTAATTTACTTAGTGACTGTGTCTTGCAAAGGCAAGAGCCCCTGCCCTGGCTCTTCCTTATATATTTGGATACAAGTGACTTATCAGACTTTTTATTTATTTGCAAATAAATATTTCCACTGTTTTATGGAAATTTTCTCCCGTTTTGTTGATATTTTGAAGCATGGAAGTTTTCAATTTAGATTTTAAGTTCTGTTGATCTGGTTTTTTTTTTTTTTTTTTTTTTCTTGCCCATGCTTTTGGTATCATATCTAAGAAGTCATTGCCCAATATTACAAAATCTTGCTTCTATGTCTTCTAGTTATGGCTCTTAACAGTAGCATCTATGATCCATTGGAGTTAATTTTTGTTTTGTTTAATATAGTTTTGTTTTGGTACCTTATTTGGTGTCTACAGTTTGCTTTTTTCACTTAATAATATGCCTTGGAGATCATTCCATGCCTCCACTAAACTTCCTGATTCCTTCTTCCTTCTTTGGGTGCTGTAGCATTCCCTTGAGGGCATATACCCTTAAGTTTCTTAAACAGGCTGGGCGGGGTAGCACACACCTGTAATCCCAGTGGCTCGGGAGGCTGAGGAAGGAGGTTGAGGAAGGAGGTTCAGGAGTTCAGAGCCAGCCTCAGCAACTTAGTGAGGCACTTAATATCTCAGTAAGAGTCAGTCACTAGAATAAAATATATATTTTTTAAAAGGGTGAGGCTGGGGATATGGCTCAGTGGTTAAACGTCCCTGGGTTCAATTCCTGGTACCCCGCCCCCCCCCAAAAAAAAAAGTTGCTTGAGCAGCCCTCATTGCTAGAAATTTTTGTAAATATTTGGGTTTTTGAAAATTATTTCAAAATGTCAACGTGGCGTGAAAAGTTATTCCATGGGGCTGGGGTTGTGGCTCAGCAACAGAATGCTTGCTTAGCACATGCGAGGCCCTGGGTTTGATCCTCAATACCATATATAAATAAATAAAGTAAAGGTATTGTGTTCAACTTCAACTAAAAAATAAATATTAATATTTATTTATTCCATAATAACCTCCTCAAAATACAGTTTAAACCATTTGGCAGACTTGGTTGTTGTAGACAGTTCTCCCATCCAGAGGCCTTTGGTAAGCCCCAGCCCTCTGGAGAATGGCCCTGAGGAATTCAGGAGGCTTCTTTTCTTTGAAGAATCCCCGGGAGTCAGGAGGCAGGACATCAGTTATCTGAAAGTGCCTGGGACTTGCCTCTAGGGGAAGCAGGTCCCTGCAGGGCTATGGTTCTCACTGATCTGGTTCCAGATGACTGACCCTGCACTGGCCTAGTTGTGTGTAAATCAAGTGATAGCAATCTCAACTTGGATCAATACCTCCAGCCACAGGGTAGGCCCTAAATACCCAGAGATTATGAAACCCGAGGTCAGTTAGGGGGAAATCCTGAAATGGGCCAAAGTTGGACTGATCTGCAGAAACTTATCTGACCAGGAGAAAGTAGACAGAACAGGCCAGTGGGAAGCTGAGATCATTGGTGAAGTCATCCCCCCAATCCCCTGCTACTGCTAACAGTTCTTCACTGAGAGACTGTGAGCTCTTATTTTATGCCCTGGTCATATTAGCATGATAACATAAAAAAGAACTTTGGAATTATTCAAATCCTATTCCTGTTCAGT